ATTGCGCTAAAAAATTTCAAAAACTACTTTTACTTGAGTAAAACTAAGTTTTCGCGGCTTCAATTAAGATTAAATAAGCTATTGTAAGCCGACACGGTCACCTTATCAGCTCAAAATTAGACCAAAAATCAAAAATCTCAACTGGTTTTTCTCGACACTAGAAAAAATTTTGAGATATTTTAAATGTGGTTCGAATCACGACTTTATAATGATATGTCAATTAACCCAGTCTGATGATTTTTGTGGTATCTAATTTTCTGATTTTGCGTGGAAAACAAAAAAACGTAAGCGCACCCGAATACAAAGTTCCTTTCCATTTTAAATGGTCGAAACAATAATGACTTAATGGAAACTAATTTTTATACCATTGAAACTGTGCGTGATACCTCAAGTTGTCCAGGTTTGCAGCATTAAAAACTATGTGTGACTCATACACTTCTCGCGGAAAATAAAACAAATATTCAATGGTCTCAATGGATCTCAAAGAAAAACGGTAATGTTACGAGATCAACATTGAGGAATATTTTAGGTTGATCTGACCGTATATAGTCCTGTTAGCAATAAATATCTACAAACTAGTTTTGAAATTTGATTGGCGAAGCTGAATTTAATGCAAATTTCCTTTTTTGTCTATAAAAAAAAACTAAAAAAAAGAGAAAAGAACATTTTTTTTCCTAATTATTCACATGAAATATGACAGTGTTCTGAACAATCGGGTGGTACTGGACAGTTACCGGCTCTTCTTGTTTTCGTAATATTAATTTCTACATAGCCTAAGTTTTTTAAGCGACGAACCCGGTTACATAAGGAGGAAGAAAATGTGATGTGGTTACCTGATGTGGTCGGCGTTTTTCTCACATTGATTCCTGGGGCCGGTGATGATAAAGGGACAAAAAACGGCGTCGAAGAGCTATAACGTATTCTATTCATGACTATCTGTGATTTGAATAGAAAACATACATGAAAATGAAAAATAAAGGAAAAAAATAATGAAAAAAAAACTTGAATGAAAAAAAAGGGTTAAAAAACTTCAAGATTTATTTAGCCAGCTATAATCACCGATGCATCAATAATGAACTGAAGAAAAGTTATGACAAGAAAGTCGATTTATTGAATATCCAGACACGGGCTCATTCGAGGGTGAAATTGTGTCATAACTGCGACGAGGATGCAAAACCACATCCAGATTTATAGCAACTTGAGAAGACATGAAGAAGGAAGCAGCGCTCAAATGGAAATAAGTAATGTAATAACTGTCTGGTGTGATAAGTATTTACGATTTCCAGTATGCCTTCATCAATTTATTGTTATTGAATAGAGAGAGGGAGAGGGGGGCTTGAAATCATTGAGAAATGGGTCGACTCAATTGTTTTTGTCTGCTAAAATCTGTTGACGGGGAAAGGAGGAAATTGGTTGTAGCATAATTTATTAACAAGAGCAAACAAATGTTTCCTTGTGGAGTAATGCATGTCTAAATTCAAAAGAGAGCAGGTTTGACGTAATCGGGTTCTAAAATAAGGTTTGATGTCTTTTTTTCATCAGAAATTCTAATTTTTGATGCACAAAAAATATATGGACTGCAGCTGAAAACGCACAATGAAAGAGATTTATGGATACTGAAACATACAAAATGAAGTAGTCTTAAGCCTTTTTTGTAATAAAGACTGAAAAAAAGGATTAATCTTATTACTTGATGTGATAGAATTTATTTGGCCCATTCATTGCTGATAACCGAATCACAGAAGTTCAAAAGCATAGTAATGAATTAGTAAATAGAGCTCCTGTAATTGAAAAGAAAAAGGCGTCAAGTAGTTCAAAGGAGAAGGTGATTTGAATTGTTCAAAAAAACAGGAACCAGGAGTCAATAAAAAGACGGAACTATGGCTATATCATGCGCTTTTGCATCCAAATAAACAATGGCAATGCTGCTTCCTCGTGGTGACACCATTAACCATTGAAAAATCACCTCTGCAAGCGATTCAATCAGTAATTGTAATTGCATTTATAAGCACTATACAATTTTAGCTACTACTAAGGCAGCATTTTTTTATCCGTGAGAGTTTCTTTTCAATTTCTCTCTGATACTTTTTTGTCACCATTTTTTTAATTACCATTTTTTGGAACTTTCAATGGCCACAGAACAAATGAAAATTTTCTTAATTGCATGGTTTTTGCTCCAGGTTGTATTTCGAGACAATTAGAATAGAATCATAGCATCAAGTGAATGGAGCTGGGAAATTTGGCCTCTGGGTGAGAGTTTCTGGACTGATTATACAGACATATATAGTTCTCAACACCCAAGTTAGACTAATTGAATTAGAACCAGCACCTCGGTCTGGAATTTAGCTGGGCTATAAATGTAATCACAATTACCACATGCTTTACTGGACGAGAGTGGTGATGTCAGAAGGCGCCAAGGTGTTTTAAAAAATATATATACAAAATGAAGTAGCAAAAAGGCCACATGCTTTCGTATTTATATATCGTCTTTTTTCCCCTTCTAATTGAATTTCAAGCTGATCCGATTTTGCTAAATGGCTCGTGATTTCATATTATGAGAACTTTTCGTGGAACAGAATTGTTTCCATGCTTAAAAAGGATAGCTGGTTGCTGTGCGAGTAGCACAGAAAATTTTGACCACAATAACAAATAAAAAAAAAACATTTGTTTTTCAAAAATTGGGTCGTTTTTGTTCTTCGTATGATGAAAGGATCTCAACGAAAGTTTAGAACTTTTTTTATGACCTTTCGATAATGGAGCTATTGGAATAACTAACTATTCGATAGTAACAGTAAACAAGACAGGGCAAAGTCATATATCAGGGCTCGTATGTAAGGGCAAAGTCATGAATATTCTGACTGTGCCCGTTGATAAAGACAATTTTAAAAACGATATCAAGGTTCGAAGCGACTAAGTTTTTCATAAAACAAATGCAGGCAAATACATGACTGCCAAAAAGTTTAAGTAAATCCTCAAAAATGAAGGAAAAGTTTAAATCTGAAATTTAAGTTTTTGCCAGATTGCCGGATTTGTAAATGTAATCCAGATTCGTGGTGCACGCAAAATAGCCACGAATTACATAAATTTTATTGAGTGCAGCTAAAGTTTTCATTATTTGGTCTTTCATGCTGTGATTGTCTCAAACTTTTCAAAAAAAAAACAGGCCAATATTTTCAAAAAGTGAATTTTTCAAAGAGGAAGCTTTCTAGCTGGATTCAATATGTTTCTTTTTTATAGTAACGAGTTTGGCAATTTTTGCCACTTAGTCAATGGGTTTTCGTAGTTGAGAAAACAATTGGTTATTTTCTTTCCGTAAAAACCATTTACAGCAAATTTCCTGATATTTGTGTGCAAAATTTGCTAGCCATAAAAAATTCATAGAAAGAAAAGTGCTCAAAATAGAGCTTTGATAAAAACTTTTTGTAAATATGGAGTTGTATAAAATTGTAATAGTTTTCGCTAGAATTTTTGCAAATTAAAAGCAAAAATGACTGCTCCTATCAAGGCAAAGCCTCTAATGTTTTGACTGGTAAAAAGTTCAAAAGTTAGAAATATTCGGAAACAAAAATCGTTTTTTTGTCACTTTATCTTGCCGCTTGCTCCTCAAAAGCACAAATTATATCGCTGGTTAACTATCTCAAATTTACAATTTTCAAAACCCCATATTTTATCGAAAAAGTACCCAGCAAAAATATGTTTTTTCTAAGCTAGAAATCAAGACATATTTTCAATGAGATGATACTACAAAAAATTGTCAAAAACGCCTAAATATACAGTAGAAAATGGCGTGGAAAAAGAACCAACAACCCTGAGCACAAATAACTTGCCACTTTCTTCAAAAAACGCAACCACAAGATTGATCGTATCAGGGCGAAATCTTGATTGTTCCGACTGCCTTCTAAGGTCAATGGAGTAATGTTGTCTTCGGAAAATAATTCGAATTTTAATTGCATTCGTGAAAAACCTGGCCCTATGTTAAGTGCATTTGAGAAAAACTATGTTAAGTACAAACCATTATATTTTGCATATGAAAAAATCTTAAATAAAACAAAAAGCATGCATCAATTCAATTTGGAATGATCTCCATACTGATTAAATAACCGCTCACGCGTTAATAGTACGAAATAGATCGCGCGTTAATTATCCCGAGCAGTCCAAATTGGCCATTTTTAAACACCCATAATTTTACGAAAATTTTCACAGATGAAGAATATTTTAAAAGTCAAAAACAGCTTTCAGATGAAATTTGAAAATCTTTTAAATATTGCGGTTTTTTAAGTCAAGCAAATCGAATTTTTGAGCTCTTCCAAATCCTTGTAAGACTCCATTTTGACCAAATGTTCTGCGCCGCAGGTTTTTTTTTTTTTTGAAAAAACAGGCCAAAACAGGCTTTTTCATTAGTATTTGGAAAAAATTGACCGAAAAGTTGCGTTTTTTCTGCGCGCGCTCCCCCTCAAAATTCGTTTAAATTGGCGCCGAAGGCACCTTTAGAAATTTTTTTAGTTCAGTCTGCCAAAATAGTTCAGCCTTTGGGTCGGCAGTCAGCCTTTGGGTCGGCAGGGGGTCGAATCCCTGAGGGGGGCGTCCCCCTAAATCCGCTGGTGCTTATCTTAGTATCTAGGACAACGCCTTTGAACTGATTAATCAATCAATGATTTGAGGGCAAATTTACAAATAAACAGAAACTAGAACTAGTTCATAGTTTCTCATCCAATTTGAAACCAAATAGTACCATACTATTTGCTATAATCTCTAGAGTCAACAATTAATCAAATCAAACTTCAATAAAAAATTTCACATCGGAAAGTAAAGAAATAATACCATTAATATTTAAAACAATTGTTCAATCAGTAGCTTTTTGCAAAGGCTGTCTAACTTTGATTATTTTCGCAATGACCTTAGTTAGGATGGTAATGCTTGTGTTCTTGTTATCAATTCAGACTTGTAGCGCAATTAACATTTTATTTTACATGCCATGTATAGGCGGCCATTTTGGCACAATGTCGACCCTACTAGCTCCTCTGTGCAAATCGAACAACTGTACCGTTTTTGAGTCTGCCAAAATGTGCGAACAAAAATTGGCGTCGTTTCATAAAACTGTCAACTTTGAGGTCATAAAAGGTCACGGACTTCCTGATGAGTATTCAATCGACGGAAATGTTGATTTTCTGCTCCGCATTTGCGATATATTGACTGATATGTACATTTACGCTTATAATGAATTATCGAAAGTGATTGATGGAAACCCTGGAAAGTTTGATCTTCTGATTGTGGACAGCTCGGCAGTTATGGGAAGTTTGCTGGTTGGCGAGAAGTACAACATGCCAACGATTCATCAGAGTCCAGGGCTGCCAGGAGGAGTGGAGTGCATCCAGGACAAATGGCCAGTCACTCTGTTCGAACTATATCTCCTCAAACCATTCGGCAAAAAGTGTTGGAACTTCATCCAAGAAAAAAGAACCCAACTTAACTTACCCGATATGGACTACCAGGGAGGTTTTATTGGCACCGAATATTCCGATAGGTTCCCCATGTTTCTTCCTACGTCACCTTCAATTTACCCTAAACCCCATCATACTACCGAACATATTTACTTGGGTGGTTTGCGAGATGAACAATTACATCCCAAACTTAGTCCCGAACTAGAATCATGGATCAAGAAAAATGACAAAAACATAATCTACATATCCCTCGGAACCCATTCCACCCTGGAGACTGAAGAGTTGAGGGCTTTTGTGGATAGCCTGAAAAGTGAGGCAAAGTACAGGTTTATCTGGTCATTGGGACTTGGCCTGGAGAATAAAGCCAAGTCTGTCGGAATATTCGACCAAAATAATGATCAGGTATTCCTGAGTGACTACTTGCCTCAATTTACTCTCCTAGGAAAAACCCAAAAGTCAAAGTGTACGTGTCGCATTGTGGTCTAGGTTCCATGGTTGACCAAGTATCAAGAGCAATTCCAGGCGTGTTTGTGCCTCAGTTCAGCGACCAATTTTCCAACGCAGCCAAATTGGAAAGTCTCGAAACTGGAATTATTTTAAAAGATTTCAAATACGAACACTTAATGGAGGCTATTGATAAAGTATTTGGTAACTATGCTTTGTATAAGAAACACTTAGAGCGTCTTCAAAAAGAGTTCAAACAGTATGAAAACTACGAAGCTATTAATGAATTTGCTCTCAAAATTGCGTCCAGAAAGAAGTTGACCGTCAAATATAATCTACCTTATCAAGTCCACTGCCCAAGAGTTGCTACCTTTTGGATGGCCTTGAAGGTGGCTCTGCCAGTTGTTGGGTTTGTGACTCTGTGTCTGGCGTATAAACTGTTCTGTCTATGCTGCAAAAAGAGCAAATATAGCGAAAAGAAGGCACAGTAGACATTGGTACATTACAAAAAAAATATATATATGCTAGATGTTTCATTCGGACCATTAAATATTAAATAACTATTTTATCAGACCATGTTTTAACTATGTATATTTTCAGGCAACTCAAAACTTCATTAGGATAGTTCTAGAGATTGAAAAACACAAGACAGTGGCAGCACAACTATATGAAGCGTCGAAATTCATAATCAGTTCGAGGCGCATGACCACACCTCATTTAAATTCTGCTAATTGTTTTCAAAGGATGCCAACTTGGTTTTTCTTTACGGCATAAGTCTTGACCAAGTTTCAAACATCTAAAAACTTCTTCGGCTCAAACAAGCCGGAAGTTTTAAGAAACGTCTTCAAAAAGATTATCTTATCTGGGTAAAAAGTAGCCTTGCAAACGTGGGAGAAAACGTAGTTCAAATTCACGTGCGGATAACACGGAAGCTCTTAAGTTCTTTTTGATTAATTCTGCAGCCAAAATCTGCTAGATAATTTCTGAGCGCTGTTACAAAAAGTATACAAAAAGCATAATTTGGATTTAGCGCTCAGTTGTTTATACAATTCGCCTTAGATTCTAATTTAAAAAGTTTAACGGTTTTGTGGATTTGATATATTGAAAGGTGTATCTCGATATATTTCGATGTATATTTATATTTTGTAAACAGCACGTTCAACCAAATTTTTTTGCTACCAGTGAAGTAAAGAAGAAAGCACAATGAGGTCAGCTTGAGCCAACCCATCGTAGAATTTAAAACAAAATGAGAACAAAACAAGACTGCTCGTATATCAGGGCAAAACCTTGAACGTCCCGACTGCACATTATTTGGTCTCAAATTGTTTTTAGTCTAAGAAATATTGATAAACTACAAATTTTAGTCTGGTAAGACAAAAATGAAAAAAAAGGTGGCTTTTTATGGAAATGGTAAGACCAATAAGCTTGCCTCAGTTCAATTTGGATCGAGTTTGAGTGCGTATAATTTGCCACGCATAAGTATTTTGCGTATTGAAACATAACAAGACTACTCGTATCAGGGCGAAGCCCTGAATGTTCCGACTGCCTTTTAAGGGGGAGCAGTAATAACATTGAAAAATTAAATGTAAGAAAAAATAAAATGAAATATTTTTTTTCTAAAATTTGAAATGTTTTATAAAAATCATCCCCCCACAGGCCATATAAAGTACAAAAGGATAAATTTAGCTCCTTGTAGCAATCAATTGTGGCAAACAAGCTTCTTTCAACCAATTTGGAACGATATCTAAGACGGATTAACTCTCCGCTTACGCGTTAATAGCGCGAAATATATCGCGAGCTAATTGTCCCAAATTGACCAGAATGGCGATCTTTAAACCCCATAACTTTACAAAAAAAGATCCCTGGTTAAATATATTTTCGAAATTGAGCTCAGGATAACAATACTTTTCGAATGATCTCAAAAATTGTTGTCAAAAATGGCTAGTTAAAATGTCGAAATTTGTCTGAAGAAAAAAAACCCCACCCCGAGCACAAATATTCCGTTACTTTCGTATCGAAAGTCGGAACAATAAAAAAGTATTATTACCACAGCAATGCCGCACTTTAGCCTAGTTCAAGCATACTCGCATACTCGCTTGGCAACCTCAAGGATTACGGATGGATGCCCATACGCAGTCATCTCTCTCCAAAATCTGAAGAAAATCGGAAGTCGGAACAACAAGACTGCTCGCAAATCCAGAGAAATTTTTGAAAACTCTAACTCTTTCATTTGACGATAGGAAGCTTTTTGTTTTATATAAAATTTTTAAAAATGAGAAATTTTTAATAATTTTAATAATATTTTAGAAAAAATATTTTTATCCTCCACAAGCTACTCAAAGTACCAAATGATAAATTTTGCATGCGGTTAAGTTTTTTCAAAGCAAATTGCTAGTCTCAGCTCAATCGGGCAAGATTTGGTTTGTCGCCGACATAGTAATAGAATAAAACACAACGCGCGTAACTATCCCAGTTGGAGTTGTAGTCGTCAAATTAGTCTCAAGTTCAAACCATTACATTTTGTGGAAAAAATCGCAAGTAGCAATATCCAAGCACCAATATCACCCAGATGCTTAAAAAAACTTAATAAAATTTCTTAATTAAAAAGTCCAAAGATGGAACAACCAGGACACTTAGATGAAAAACTTGACTGGCTTTTTGAAAACTTTGATAAGAGCATCATTTGAAACTTTCGATTAAACTAAAGCAATTGCTAAACAGAATAAGAATTAGACTTAAACAAATTCAACTTAATTTAAACTTAAACAAAGATCAAACATCATTAGATGTCCTAATCGAAAAGTGGGAGCAAAAATTATCAATCCGTTCATATTTCTTATTCATATGAGAGATTGTACCCAACATTTGAATTTATTGACTCTATCAAAATGTGTGCAATTATTTTGTGTAATTTTGTGTATTTTGTGAATTGCAACTGGATTCGACAGCAAGGACGCTTCTTTTGTTCCTCTTTTGTGTTTCATTCTCTTTGACCTTTCCGCATAAATTTATGCAGTGCACAGTTTGGTTATGTGTTGTAATCGGACAAAAACTAAGAAAGGATGGATTATGGTCCAGAGAAGGCGCTACAAAACAAATTTATCAGTAATTTGTCTGTGGGATCAAAGTTAGCAGTTTAGGCAAGTTAATCTACATACTCTTTAAACAAGTTTTTTTTTGAAAAAATTGATCGTTTGCAGAATCTTTTTCTTCAAAACCTCGTCCAATAGTTACTTTTTTGATATTAAATCACTTAGCTTGTTGAAATTCTGTTAACAACGTGTGTTGCCTCAAATGCGCAAAGTTATCAGTTCCAGAACAAAATTGCTGGCAAATAATGTTTAAAGAATTTTTAGCAACCAAAACCTACCTCAATGCTTATAATCCAATCAAAGTCTGATGTCACTCAAAAAAAGAAACAATTAGTTTTTACTAGGGAAAAAAAATTTTCGTTTTAAATACATAAGTTGCTTTTTTCTAAATTTTTTTTGACGTGAATCGCATGTACGAAAAAAAAATGTTTTAAAACAAAAATTTGCTTTGAAGATTAAACTAACTTCTGATAAAACGATTTTTTTGATATCCAAACTGCTATGCAATGAAACATCGTTTTGTTGCTGAAAATGGTTCAACTGTATAAACGTAAAAAATAAAAACGTCTCTTATAAACAATACTCCTTTATTCCAATTGCCCTTCTTCTATACGGCATAAGTCTTGACCAAGTTTTAAACATCTAAAAACTTCTTCGGCTCAAACAAGCCGGAAGTTTTAAGAAACGTCTTCAAAAAGATTATCTTATCTGGGTAAAAAGTAGCCTTGCAAACGTGGGAGAAAACGTAGTTCAAATTCTCGTGCGGATAACACGGAAGCTCTTAAGTTCTTTTTGATTAATTCTGCAGCCATAATCTGCTAGAGAATTTCTGAGCGCTGTTACAAAAAGTATACAAAAAGCATAATTTGGATTTAGCGCTCAGTTGCTTATACAATTCGCCGTACGTTCTAATTTAAAAAGTTTAACGGTTTTGTGGATTTGATATATTGAAAGGTGTATCTCGATATATTTCGATGTATATTTATATTTTGTAAACAGCACGTTCAACCAAATTTTTTTGCTACCAGTGAAGTAAAGAAGAAAGCACAATGAGGTCAGCTTGAGCCAACCCATCGTAGAATTTAAAACAAAATGAGAACAAAACAAGACTGCTCGTATATCAGGGCAAAACCTTGAACGTCCCGACTGCACATTATTTGGTCTCAAATTGTTTTTAGTCTAAGAAATATTGATAAACTACAAATTTTAGTCTGGTAAGACAAAAATGAACAAATAAGACTGGCTTATTATGGAAAAGTTTAGACCAATAAGCTTGCCTCAGTTCGATTTGGAACGATTTTGAGTGCGTATAGTTTGCCACGCATAAGTATTTTGCGTTTTGAAACATAATAACAAAGTATTATTACCACAGCAATGCCGCACTTTAGCCTAGTTCAAGCATACTCGCCTGCTCGCTTGACAGTCTCAAGGATTAGGGGTGGATGCCCATACGCAGTCACCTCTCTCTAAAATCTGAAGAAAATCGGAAGTCGGAACAACAAGACTGCTCGCATATTCAGAGAAAACTTTGAAAACTCTTACTGTTTCGCTTGACGATCGGAAGCTTTTTGTTTTACATAAAATTTTTAAAAATGAGAAATTTTTAATAATTTACTAACATTTTTGAAAAAATGTTTTTATCCTCCACAAGCTGCTCAAAGTACCAAATGATAAATTTTGCATGTGTTAAAATTTTTTCTAAAGCAAATTGCTAGTCTCAGCCCAATCGGGCAAGATTTGGTTTGTCGCCGACATAGTAATAGAATTAAACTCAACGCGCGTAAACTATCCCAGTTGGAATTGTAGTCGTCAAAATAGTCCCAAGTTCAAACCATTACACTTTTGTGGAAAAAATCGCAAGTAGCAATATCCAAGCACCAATATCGCTCAGATGCTTAAAAAACTTAATAAAATTTCTTAATTAAAAAGTCGAAAAATGGAACAACGAGGACGCTTAGATGAAAAACTTGACTGGCTTTTTGAAAACTTTGATAAGAGCATCATTTGAAACTTTCGATTAATTAAAGCAATTGCTAAACAGAATAAGAATTAGACTTAAACAAAATCAACTTAATTTAAACTTAAACAAAGATCAAACAGCATTAGATGTCTTAATCGAAAAGTGGGAGCAAAAATTATCAATCCGTTCATATTTCTTATTCATATGAGAGATTGTACCCAACATTTGAATTTATTGACTCTATCAAAATGTATGCAATTATTTTGTGTAATTTTGTGTATTTTGTGAATTGCAACTGGATTCGACAGCAAGGACGCTTCTTTTGTTCCTCTTCTGTGTTCCATTCTCTTTGACCTTTCCTCATAAGTTTATCCAGTGCACAGTTTGGTCATGTATTGTAATCGGACAAAAAGTAAGAGTGGATGGATTATGGTCCAGG